GCAAGAGGTTAAGTGACATTGTTAAAACCCTACCCTGAGCTACCCATTAACTACATGTAATAAGCGATCTCATTAAGAGGCAACTGTACTGTAGATAAAAGAGAATATTAGTTTATATAAGACGGGAATCTTCTAAGCTATTTAATATGTATATTTAGCAGCTTTCTCCCAGCCATTTATAATACTTCTGGATGTGTTCAAAATATCATTTTATGTTGCGACTTAACAGCATCGCAGCATTTTAACTAATAACACCCACAGAGGTTAGAGTAGTAAGAGGTGAAAAGGAGTAAAAATTCATTGGGCTAAGGGCCAATTTCAGTAGTGAATTAATGAACTAGCTTTTCGCCTTAGTCTAGGCAGCAATTTATATCAATTTAGTTCAATTAATGGCTTTCCCAGTGTGCAGTTCTTAGCCAGAAAGCCAGTTCCACTCACTTAGAAGTTTGAGTTGAGCGTCTGTCTTGACTGGGCCTGCACAGCGTGTCTTTCTGGCCCTGTCAGTGAGAGGAGCTTAATTTCTTCACGCTCATGCCTTTTCTTCTGCTTCCTGTATGTAACCTCGTGGAGGATATGCCGAGGAAGCAGGCAGAGGGGCCCGCATCTGTCAGGAAAGAGGCCACCCAGCTGAGACAAGTCTACCTGCAACTAAGTTTCTGAAACTATGCTGGCCCAGTAGCGCTCAGTCCTCAGTGACCAGAGTCAGCCGGGAGCTTTCAAAATCCACCAATACTCAGACCCTTCATTTAGGATCCAGAAAAGTGTATAAGATAGTTCTTGTAATCACCAATGCTCCTTTTAAGTAAGAATAATAAAATATAAGAGCTAGCATCTCTCGATTTCATCCAAAGTATCTCCCAATAAATGGCAGCAGAGCCGTGGATGTGTTAGTATCTGGAAGGAGGAGACCAGGGGAGAAAGAAGAGGCAGACGGAGAGCAGGTTGGAACAGGTGGGTGACAAAGCCTCCTCCCATTATCTCTGAGCCATGTTACCTGGGTCAGATTACATATTCTTGCCAGATCCTCCTCCTTAGGTAGGGCAATAAAACCTACTTTGCAGGGTTCTTGTAAAGTAAGAAATAATGTGAGGCAAACACCAGGCACGAGCAGGTCCCGGGTAGTGTAGCCACAGC